ACCTCCGGGGCAGGCAGGAATCGAACTCATGCTGAAGCGGCTTTAGATTCTCAGTGCTGTGCTTTAACCCACTGCGCCACCAGGGAGGGCCCCAAAAGGAATATTTTTAAGTAACATGCAGTGTCTGGTGATAAGCAACAGAGAATAACTCTCAAGTACAAAAGTAAAATAAATTTCAAAATATATATCCATTTTCCCAAGCTGAGTAAAAGAAAGAATTTGGCATTTTGTTTGCTTATGTATTTCTAGTTTAAAGATTGGGGAGGTTTCCCATTATTACGAAGCCTGGGTATAAATAGCAGTTGCAACAACATCTACTTTTTTAGAGATTAGAATCAGGATGCATATAGTTCTAATTTTTCAAACATGAGGAAGCAGGTGGGAGAAAGAGAGAGCTAAGAGACATAATAATTGGAAAATTGGAATATGGCTCTTTCTAACCTATGAAGGAGTTGAAAGATCACTGACAAAATTCAAATATATTTGAATTTTTAAAACATTAGCATATTTTTCAGGTTTGCATAAATTGTTGTTGAAATTCTATCTCTTGGTGTTTTAATCATCTGCTCACCCTTGGCAGTGAAGCAAATTCTGTAGACTAGAAATCTGTTTTCATTTACCTTTATTGATATCCATCCTTATATGGGCACATGCTGTAAGTTGGAACTTACATGCAAACTAAGCAATTTATATTTTTCATTGTTTCCCTGAGAACAGAATGCTGAAATCAATTTGTTGCATATCTGATTCTACTAAGGAATATAACACTATGAGGAAAAAAGGACTCACAAATACTGTTCAACAGAATGTTCCGTTCGAAGCTACAAGGATGACCAAGCATACTTTATATGTAGAAACATATTGAAGTTTATTTCTTAAAGGAATCCTTTATAGATGAGAGGAAGAATCATAAAGATGACAGACAGGTTGCTTTTCCCACTGTTCTATGGCCAGATCTTCCAATGCTAGTTTTGCAAAATGAAAACAGACACCCAATTAATTTAATTGAAATATTTAAAACAAATGAATACACAACAATCCTTTGGTGACCTTCATTTGTAGGCAAGGTAATCAGAGAATTAATAAATTGACCAAACACTTGTAAGAAGAATGTATTTGTCAAAGAACTGTGTTGCTTATTGACACTACTCC